CCTGCCGCATGGGCGCTTGGCGGGTGCGCGGTCCCTCAGCGCAGGAGGCCTGCGGGAGGCGCGTGGCCCCCCCCCAGCGCAGGCGGCCGTTGGGGGCGCAACCCCCCACACCCCGCCGCACGGGCGCTTGGCTGGTGTGCGGCCCCTCTTGTGTGGGCGGCCTGTAGGCACCTGCTTCTCCCACAGCCGCCATCCTGGATCCAAGAATTCTCTCCAGACCAAGTCCACCTTGCAGCAGTGTGGTGGCTTCACTGTACCAGTCTTGAGGGCCGGTGCCCAGCATCCATCCTGGGTGAGGGAATCCATTGGTTCTGGCTATGGAAGCCTCATGGAGCTGCAGCGGCTGTGCGGCTCGGCGAAGGCTCTGCAGCAGGGGGTTGGGAGCCACGAGACTCACCCATTTCTCCTTGGGAATCCTTGAATTCCTGTTGCTGAGCCTCAATCTTCACTGAGGGCCAATCATCAACTGTTGAAGTGTTCAATTATCAATAAGCCAAGGTCTGTGGAAGGCCATAATGGCCCTGCTTTAAGTGATTCGCTGCTCCCGCAGTTCACCACGCTGTCTCTGCCTCCACCGCCATCTTGGATCTCCAGATTTAAAATTTTACAGAACTCTTTCTTTAAATTAGTATGTTTTCAAATTTGGGAATCAGGAACATGTGATAAGCAGCTACTGTTGACATGCTTTGGTCACTTTAAAAAGACCTTGTGGCATAGTGCATAAATGTATCAGCCTGCTCACTAGACTGTCAGCAGTTTGAATTCACCAGACACTACACAGGAGAAAAATGGCAGCCTTCTTCCATAAAGATTACACCCTGAGGAGGGTCTCTATGAGTCAGACCAACGTGGTAGCAGTGCATTTTGTATTAATGTAAGACGGAACTGACCCATAGCTGACCCTCCACTGCATTTTCAAAGGCAGTATATCACATGAGAGGAGAATATTCACATCCTTCTTCTGTGGAGCAGCTGGTAGATTGCAATCTTTGGGTTGGAGGTGCAGCTCCTTACTACTAAGCCACCACAGCTTTCTGTTTTCTTTCTTGTTTTTTAATTAAATATTAATGAAAGTTTACAGAGACTTTGTATTTCCATTCATACATTGTTGCACAGTTTTCTCCTTGCCCACCCCTCCCCCAGTTCCTTTTCTCTTTGAAGAAGAAGAAAAAAAATTCTTACATTGTTATACAATCCTCCTCTCCTGCCCCACCCCAAGTCCACTTTATTATGCAGCTCTTATTCTGGACTCTTGTCATGAAAATAATACCTACTCATATATTCCCTTTAAACATTTCTCTCCCTCATCTGTTTAAATGCAATAAACATTATTTATCCCCACTTTTCTTAAGTTCCCCTAACCCTGATGTGAGTCATGTTTTACAGCAGTGGTGCTATGCACTATTTGTCCTTTTGTGACTTAGATATTTCACTCAGCATAATGTCATCCATTTTGTATAATATTTCATGAGTTCCTTGTTTTTCAGTGCAGCCTAGTATTCCGTTGTGTGAATATACCACAGTTTCTCTACCCATTCATTTGTTGATGGGCCCTTGAGTTGTTTCCAACTCTTTGCTGTTGTGAACAAAGCAGCAATAAACATGGGTATTCATATATCTGCTTAGATAGCAGTTATGGTCTCTTTGGGGTATATTCCCAGTAGTGGAATTGCTGTGTCAAATGGTATTTCTATTTCCAACTTTTTGAGAAAGTGCCATACAGCCTTCCATTGAGGTTTGCACCATTTTACACTCCCATCAACAGTGAATAAGGGTTACGGTTTTCTCCACAACTTCACTAGCATTTGTTGCTTGCTATTCTTTTGAATTTTGCTATTCTTACTGAGGTGAGATGATAGTTGTTTTGATTTGTATCTCTCTTAGAGCTAGGGATTTTGAGCATTTCTTCATGTGTGTGTTTGCCAGCTGAATATCTTCTTTGGTGAAGTGTCTGTTCATATCCTGTGCCCATTTTTCAATTGGGTTGCTTACCTTTATCTTGTTGTGGTGCAAGACCTGTATTCTTAATGTATTGAAATCATCTATTTTCTGTAATCTAGTTGAAACTTACCTTTAGAATATTTCTGTTTCCTCTAAGATGATAAATACCACTTGAAAGTTTATACTTAATAATTCTGTAATAATGTTTTGCTTCTATTTTAGATTGCAAGGGAGCATGGTATTAGATTTTTTGAGACTAGTGCAAAAGCAAATATAAACATTGAAAAGGCGTTCCTCACATTAGCCGAAGATATCCTTCGAAAGGTAAGTTCCTCTTTTAACTTTAACTGCCAGGAAGCTAAGTAGCTTAGTTGAACATTTCGTTTCTTCTAAGGCATGGACTTAAAAATTTAAAAAAAAAATATTGTTGCTGAAAGTGTATCTATCTTATTAACTGATTCTCCAAAGTGAAGTAATAAACTAGGAAGGAATAGATCTGTCTTTAAATCTGAGGGATCTAGCTATTAATAATAACTCATGTATCTGTTATTTCACATTCATTCATAATCCTGGCTCATGCTCCTTTTTCAGGTTTCTTATCTGGTCCTTCTTTTAATATTTTATTTTAAGTAATTAGAGAGAATCTGAATATGGTGTAATGTATCCTTAATTTTCTCTTTTATCTATTATATGTATTAAGAGGAAATGTGATATAGATGCTGATAAATAAGATGTGAATATTAGGACACATTTTTTTATGCTGGCAGTTTTTATATTTAAAATATCTTTTAAAATCAGCTTATAGATCAAAACAAGGTATATACCTGTAAAACTATAAAAGAAGTGAGAGATATCAAGTATAAATCTAATAAAATTTCTGAGCCAAATATGGAAATTAAGTTAGATGTTTCACTGTCATAAAATAAATCCTGGACTAAGGCATTAAAACCAAGTAACTTAGTTTTTTAGAGTGACATATGTTGTCTTTTAACTCCAATGGATTATTTGAAACTGAGGGGGAAAAAACCTTATCGGTATGGCTGTTCAAAAATAATACAGAAAGAAGTGTGTCAACATTCTGTATATCATGTTTTAGAAAATAGCACTTCAGGAAATAAAGTTTTCTGTAAGAATTCATTTAGAAAAAAAAGAATTCATTTAGGTCAGAATTTGAATTCAATTACAAACAGGAGGAGAAGCTTCAAGATAGTAAATAAATATGAAAGATATCTATAACATAGTGAAAAAAGGCACTTAAGAGATGATGTGTATGGTGTGATCTCATTTTTTAAAATGATACCATATATGCACACATGCAAACACAACAAAGCAAAATGTCAAATGCAAACTTGCATTAAATTTGCCCAAGCACCTCACCCATACCTGTTGCTTTCAGGTCACTTCCAACTCTGAGGGACCCTGGAGGCCAGAGTAGAACCCCGCACCCCCATGGACTTTCCAAGGCTGTCATCTTTATGGATGTTAGGAATCTCTGGTGGCTTAGTAGTAAGGAGTTGCACTGCCAACCCAGTATCCACTAGGGTGTTCCTCGGACGGCAGTTGTGTCATCTCCAGCCTCTGAAAACATGCTGTAAGGTCAGCTGTGAGCTGGTTTCCACTCAGTGGTCTAGAACAATCTTAAATAGAGGCTGTCTACCACATCTTGCTCCTGAAGAGGAGCTGGTGGTTTCAAACTGCCAATCTTTGATTAGGAGTGAAATGCTTAACTACTAGGTCACCAAGACTCTTTTGTCTTGCCTTTAAAATCCAACTTCTCTAGAGTCTTCCTTCTCATGGTGACCCAGCAGGACCAACTAGAACTGTCCCTTAGGGTTCCTAGACTGTACATTTTTAAAGAGCCTAACTTCTTTTCTCCTGAGGTGCAGCTAGTGGGTGTGAACTGCTGGCCTTTAGTTAGCCACTCAATGAGCATTTAGCCTGTTGCTGCGTCCAGTTCCCTCTTGGCTGACACTTGTTGGGTCCATTGAGTCAGTTTTGACTCAAAGCCACTCTGTGGACAACAAAACGAAACCTTGCTGGATCCCATGCCATCCTTGCAAGGATGTGTAAGGAGTGGAGGGTTACAGATGTGATTTCTGACCAGCACCCTCTTCTGCCCTGCTTTCTTACATGATGTTAGAAAAATCAACTTTAGAATTAAATAAGTTTAAACAATTAGTTATTTTAATAATTCATTCACATGATTAAACATTTTCATTCAAAAGTAAAAGTGCAAAGAAATTACCCACTTATTCCCTCAGTTGGCAAGTCCTCATCCCTCAGCCCTTCCCAGTAGGTAAGCATATGAGTGCACGTATACTTTTATTCCTGCAAACCCTCCCTTTAAAAAAACATTGTGGTACCAAAAATAGCAGATTGGTGGCCTGAGTGGCCAGAAGTCCAGCAGTCTTGGCTTTAGAGGCAGACCCTCTCTGATTTCTTTTATATCTCCAAAGAGACTGGCTATTCTAGGAGTTCTACCTCATTAACATAACAAACCTAACCTCTTCCCAAATGAGATTCTAACAGTAGGCATGGAAGGTAGGGTTGACAGCACATTTGGGGAGGACAGAATTCTTCTCATAATGTCATCTTAGAATTTTAAGCTGTGAGTGAATAATCTTAATGTCTAAATAATTTTTCACATGTGCAAGTATTTGAAGGACAAATTTTCAGAAGTGCCCAAAGAGAATGTAAGTGTGTGGGCACAAGTGCATGTGAACACAGCCCATGGGATTTCACCGGTGACACCAGATTCTGTCCTGGTGGTTATAGCAGTCCTTACCTCCACTACAGTGCAAAAGAGCATCTGCTCACTCACAGCCTTCCCAGCGCAGTGGATGACAAGACTCTGAGAGCTCCACCAGTCTTGTCGGTAGTTTTTAAATGTGGGTTTAATTCATAGTTCTCTTATTGGCAAGATTAGACATGTTTTTACATGTGTAAGAGTCACTTTAACATTTCTTTGCCAGTGACCACTTTGACTGTTCTTTGCCCATAGTTTCCTATGTGGTTATTGACCTCCTCCTCCTTAGCTGGGAACTCTTTTTTAAGTTCTGCTTAATAAAATTTAATTAATACTCTGACTCTCAAATGTTTTCTCCTGCAGGGAGTAGTTGTCCTTTTTTAGAGAAGGGTGGGTTAAATTGTTAAAAGATAGCCTATGATAGAGGTTCTAATAAATAAATGCGGGTACTACCCTCGTTCAAGCACCTCTGCGTCTTTACCAGCTCCTGCACACTCAGAAGTTCCCAGGGAAAGAGCATTTCTTACGCAGCCATCTTCATTTCTTGTTGTGGGCTAGGTGCTGAGCTGCCTTTCCTTCTGTACATTTTTTCTCAAACATCTGTATTCTGAAGCAAAGTCACTTGTTCAGGAAGGGCCTGTAATGCCCTTTTTAATAACGTGGCTTTCAGCTTTAATAACATACAAGTTGGAGAAGACACCCGCAGACACTGAGAGTTAGCAGGTGACCTCAAAGGGAAAGCTAGACATACCACCTTGTTAAGAGTTAGGTGGAGATAGTTACTTGCTAGCCAGAACTTAAATCAACCCAAAGCTACGAAGGAAGACAGGCCTCAACATTAGCTAGTAAATACTTTTCACAGATCAGGGATAGGTCTTTATCAGGGATACAAATCTTTATTCAAAAAACTTAAGATTTCAGAGACAATAAGGAACCTCTAGAGTTCTAGAGACCTCTGAAAGGTGTCCTGGTGATTCAGTGGGTTAAATGTTAGACTGCTGCCCAAAAAGAGCTGACGTTCAAATCCACCAGGCACTGTGCAAGAGGAGGATGAAGCGTTCTGTTTCTGTAAAGATTCATGGTCTTGGAAACCATGTGGGGAGTTCTCCCCTGTCCTAAAGGGCCACAGAGTCAGAATTTACTGGACACCTGGTAGATTTGGGTTTGAAAGCCTCCAGGCGGTTCTCAACTTGAAAGAAGCAGGGGTGGCGAATTAAAAAAAGAAGCATCTATCTTGCATGGGCAAGGGGAGGGGAGTATGTGACTGAAATTGCATTTCTTTGCATAAATTGACATTTCTGAAATACTTCCTTTGAATTGTGATTTATCTGTGGCAACAGTTTTTTATGGACACTTTCCTTATGTATCTTTTTCAGACCCCTGTAAAAGAGCCCAACAGTGAAAACGTAGATATCAGCAGTGGAGGCGGCGTGACGGGCTGGAAGAGCAAATGCTGCTGAGCGGCCGCCTGTCCATCGGAGGCAGCTGCCACCCCGTTTTCTCTTGCTGCATAATAAACCACTCTGTCCATTTTTAACCCTGAACAGATATTTTTGTTCCTCATCTTAACTATCCAGTCCATCTATTTTGTTTGTTCTCTCATCTGTGACTGCTTGCTGACTTTTTAATTTTCTTCAAACAACAACAAAAATTGTATAGAAAAATCATGTCTGTGACTTCATTTTTAAATGTACTTGCTCAGCTCACCACTGCATTTCAGTTGTATTATAGTCTGGTTCCTCTTATCAACATTAAAACCTATAACAATCATTTCAACTCTATTCTGCAAATTGTATAAGAATAAAAGTTAGAATTAACAATTTTATTTTGTACAACAGTGGAATTTTCTGTCATGGGTAACATGCTTGAGTCCCTATAATCTATAGACATGCAATAGAAAAAGAAACAAAAGCCAGGAAAACCTTCATTTCGCCTTGAACATGTCAGTGGGATTAATTTTGTCCTGTGCCTTATGTGGAAAGGAACTTTTTTGGTTTTTCCTTTTTTGTTTTGGTGGAAGCATGTGCAGGAGACATATCATCCACACATAAATCATTGCCATGTCTGTGGTTTGCTTGGCTCTTATTTTCACAGTAGTTAACTGAGGACAAAGGATAATACAGAATGATAACTTTGGTTTGCTGAGTCTCTTTTTTAAGTGGCCTTGATATTTAAATTATTCCCGCCCACCATTTCCTCTCCTTGGCCACTTTTCCCTTATTTCTCCTTCCTGCATGCTGCTTTTTTGCTTCTCCCTCTCTCCCCTCCCATGGTATGAGTTATTTAAAATGAAAGGGACAAAGAGGTTTGTCCAGTTTAACATAAAGCACTGATTTAATTTACTATGTAAACCGAGAGGTGAATTCTAACTGCCTCCTGTCAGATGTCAGTTAGTGTCGTCCCCTCGTCTGTTCTCTGTCCTAATGTTTTTGTGTTTTTGTCTCCAGATGCCTTTCTCTGCTCTTCTCCTTCTGTGGTCTTCCTCTCCTTCCCTCTTTGTTCCCCTCCGGCCTGTCCGTTGAGTTTATGAAATGGAAGAGTTAATTGCATGCACTAGTGTTTGGAGGGTATTGTGGTTTGTCTTTCTGATTAGGTGTGTAGCCTGTTCACTTTCCTAGAATAAAGCTCTTCATCTGAATTTGAGGAGTCTCCATTTTGGCACCTCCTCTGGCAGTTTGGTAGCCCAGTAAAGGTCTAAATGGGAAAAGATAAAGACAAGAGGAGTGAAATTTATTACCATTTTTGCCAAATGTATTAAGATTTGGCCTCTTAAGAACACTTTTTCAGTGTTAAGTTATCTTTACCTTAAGATTTAGGACACTTTAGAATATTAATTTTAAGTCCTACCTTCATATCCTCTTCAAAAATTGTGTTATTGTGGATTTGGAAAAAGGACAACAAAAGACCTTTCATGTGAAGATAAGGTTTCTCGCTTTGTCTAACCCTGGTTTCTTTTTTGCCTTTGGTTTTTCTAGTTTGCTTCATTGCTTATCTTTAGGATAGGATAAGTTAAGTTCACTACGCTGCTAGCATCCTAACATGACACCTTTCTTGGAATAATTGTGAATAGCATGATTCATTTCTAGCAGAGGCTGAGTTTAGGAGCGCAGCGTCCACTGGAGAGTCCGTCTGTCGTGGATAGCATTTTAATGCCCTCTTGGCACACATTTACAACATGGGGCCATCTCTGCTTTCAGATACTGCCCTATGAACAATTTTCTATGCCTCACTGGTTATTGTTAGGATTTTCCCTCACTTGACTTAGTCATTGTTTACTACTAGTAAAAGCAGCATTGCCAAATAATCCCTAATTTTCCACTGAAGATAATACTGAAATGTTCAGCTCAACCAGCTGTAGGTTTAACCTACTGTTGTTAGATTAACGTATTTGTTTCTTCCCTTTATCCGGAATGTGGCAGTAGCTTTTTTTAACTCTCTTTAATCCTTGTTCAATTTAGTGACTTAAGGTTTGAGAGCTAAACACTGGGATTTTTGGGTAACAGACTGACAGTTTTGTTGTTTGCATAACAATAATTGGCATTGTACATAGAAAGGATATGGCTACCTTTTGTTAAATCTGCACTTTCTAAATATCAAAAAAGGGAAATGGAGTATAAATCAATTTTGTATAATCTGTTTGAAACATGAGTTTTATTTGCTTAATATTAGGGCTTTGCCCCTTTTCTGTAAGTCTCTTGGGATCCTGTGTAGAAGCTGTTCTCATTAAACACCAAACAGTTAAATCCATTCTCTGGTACTAGTTAAGAATTCGGTTTCATATTCTACTTAACAATTTAAATAAAACAAATATTTCTAGATGGTCTACTTCTGTTCATATAAAAACAAAAACTTAATTTCCAACTGTGTGGTTTGGTTTTCATTTGTGGAGTTGAAGTATTTTTTTTCCCTTGTTAATACAGAATAGCAAATGAAAGGGGGGTTGGGATAGAAAGGGAGAAACTTCCTCAGCCTATGAAAAGAGGGGAGAGCATTGTCTTTTTAAAACTACGTTTTTTAAAAGTCTCTCTAGTGCAGTCAAGAGTCATTTTAGGCTTTTTCCCTTCACCACCTTTCTGAGGAAGGCGAAAAAGCCTCCGCACGTGGAAAAAGTAAACAATAAATGCTCTTGAAATTTCAAAAAAAAAAAAGTCATTTTAGTGTCACAGTAAGATACGCCTTGATCTGAGTCAACCCCAAGGTTTACCACCCCAAACTGAAAGTCTGCTGATGACATGGGGATGCCAGCACAGGTTCATCAAGCAGGACGGATAAAGCCTTGGTTCAGCAGGCACTGTTCTCTGAAGCATTGTCTCAATTTTTGGTGAACCATATGCCACAATTTTGATTCTATAGTCTTGGCAAACAAAATCAAACCTCTAGTAAAACCTTTGCAGGCAAGTATTTGTTGGGAGGAGGAGTGATGTGTAGAGATTTTCTTAAGTGTTCCCTCATGCCCCAACCCTCACCATTTCTGATTGTGTCCAGAGCAGGATCCAGAGCCTGGCTTTCAGAGTATAGGAAACAGAACCATCAGCCCTTAAGTTGATGTGGTCTAGTCCAGATGGCAAAAGTTGGGTCCGCTAAGCATAGGAAAGCACCAGACAGCTGTGCAGTAAATTTGAGTTCTGTTAGTAGATGAGCCAGTTTGGTTGGTGGGAGGAGTTAGGTGTTGTTGAATCGACTGTCCTTCGGCAGCACGATGAACAGCAGTTCTGAACCTTCCCAGCCGGGTACCGTTGTGATCGCTGGCGTGCCCAAGCCCGTTGGTAACAATCCATCTTGCTGAGGGTCTTCCACGCTTTCTCTGACCTGTCCTGCGTAATGGCATTTTCCAGGTCCTGAAAAACGTGCCCAAAGTATGTTTGCACGTCCCCCAGGAATCCTTGTGAGCTGTGTAGATTGTTTGGCTAGGGCAGGAGGGGGTCAGGTCATTGTAAGTGGGGACTACAGAGGCAAACTAGAAGCCAGAAGCCCTGACTAGGTAAGGGGAGTCGGTGGGCTCTTCAGAGTGAGAGCCACAAGACTGAGGAAAACGATTGCAAGATGGGTTAGAAAAAAGTTCTAGGTGGAGGAGATGCTGGGTTAAGGTAAGAAAAAGACATGAAGGGGAGAAACTTAATCAGATGTTAAAGCACTCTCGAAAGCTTCCAGTTTGTGTGATTGTTGTTATGTGCCATCAAGTCACTTGTGACTCATAGCGACCCTGTGTACAACAGCCCTAAACTGCTCTGTCCTGTGTCAATCGCATTGCCTCTGACACTCCCAGTTATCCCAGTCACTGAATCAATCCACCCCAAAGAGGGCCTTCCACTCCTGCACTGTCCCTCCACCCTCCCAAGCATGATGTCCCTCTCCAAGGACCCAGTCCCTCCTTACAACATGTCCAAAGTATGTTAGATGGAGCCTCAGAATCCTTGCCTCCAAGGAGCCGCCAGGTTTAACCCTTTCCAGGATGAATCTGTTTTCCTAGCAGTCCATGGTATTCTCAATACTCTTCTCCAGCACCACAGCTCAAAGGCATCAGTTCTCCTTCTATCCTCCTTAGTCATTGTTCAACTCTCTGATGCATAACAAGTGATAGCAAAGACCATGGCCTGTATCAGACGCACCTTAGTCTCCAGAGAGACACCATTGCTCTTCAGTACTTTGGAGAGGTCCCTAACAGCAGACTGTCCCATCACAATACGTCTTTTAATTTCCTGGCTCCTGGTGCCAAGACTGTTAACTGTGGAGCCAAGCAAACTAAAGCTGTGAGCAATCTGTGTGTGAAGTACATAATACGTTTTACACAATAAGCGCTTCTGTGTCACACCCAATGGGTTTTGAAATCAGGCCTAGTACCAGTATTTAGCTATTTTCACTTTCAACATCCAAGTTTCTCAGGATTCCACACTTAGAATAAGAATGTTAAATGTAGTTGAGTAAGAACTGACCCATCACTGACTGCAGATGATTTTCAGAGGCTGGTAATCACAATAGGAAGAGTGCCCATTTTTCTCCTGTGGTGCAGCTGCTGGGATGAGACTGTGCCTTTGGGTTGGCAGTGCAACTCCTCACCACTAACCCTCTCCCTTACCAGTGTAACAGTGTCATGGTAGATGCCACTGTTAGCAGTTGATATTACGAACAACAGATCTGAACCCAGCCAGCCCTGGCGCTTAGCGTCCTCATCACCTTGGATACACGCGACCCTTTGTTACAGTCACTGTATCAGTCCATCTCTTGAAGGTTGTCTTCTCTCTTGCTGACCCTCCACCTTTCCAAGCATGCTGTCCTATTCCAAGGACCGGCTCCTATAGTATGTGAGACAGTTTTACTGTCCTTACCTCTAAGGAGTACCATGGTTGCACTTCCTCCAAAACAGACTTAGCATTGATTATTCTGTCACCCTTAGTGTCCAACTTTCAGATGTATAGGAAGTAATTGAAAAGACCATGACTTGGGTCAGGCATGCCTTAGCCTTTAAGCTGACATCCTTGCTCTTCAGCACTTTGGAGAAGTCTTTGCCAGCAGGTTTTGCCCAATACAACAGGTCTTGGTTGCTGCTTAACATGAGTGTTGATTGTGGTTCCAAGTAAAATGAAATTCTTGATAGAGATTGGAAGAACTGTCATGTGGGAAGTGACAGTATTTTGCTTCTATTCTAAATAGCCTTGGAAGGTGGCTCCACTCACTCATTCAGTCGCTTAATACTGTTCAGCTTCGTTGCGCTGGCTTGGGTCTCGCCCTTTAGATTCCCCCAGCTCTGGTTTTGGTGCTTGGACCTTCCATCTGGATCATTGTGTTAGTTTCTGGATTGTTCACCTAACATCAAGTCTAC